ATATATATATATATATATATATATATATATATATATATATATACACACATTATACTTGAACATGATTCCAACACAATTCTTGCCACTTGCATCTAATCCATTGCTGAGAAATCAGGTTTGAGCTATTGCCATTGTGGTCCATGTATACCTCTTGTTGAGTTAAGAAAAAATGATTATGTGTCTGCAATAGTTTGAGGCTGCACAGTCACTGTTTCCAATTATCCTTCTCTTAATGCTTTAATATTTGAACACATTAACTTGGAGTAATGAGTTGTGTGTCCAATGGAACAGTGCCGTATTTTCATTAATTCTGTTTTCATTTCCTAAAAGTATTTTCACATTGTCCAGAAGCCCTCTTATCTTTGTCAGAAACACTCAACGCCACAGGGAAAATTGGCCGAAAGAAAAACTGAATTAGGTTAATTATTTCTTAATCAGCTTTAGAAAGATAATATAGCAGGACTTCAGAGGAAACACAGTTTTTTTTTTAAGTTAATGTTTTAGCTAAAAAACTAGATACAGAATTAGCATTGCTGCAAGGCAGATGAGAAAGACAGATACAAGATGCTATGGAGAGTATTTTCACTCATCTGGAATGTAGAGGATGACAAGAAAATATACAGAACGATTCACGGAAAGATGCAGAACGAAAAAGGAAATCTGTTCAAAATATAAGAATAAATGTCAAATGTTTAATCCTGAGTTTTTTATCTAAACATATTTGGAGTTAACTGGGTAGAGGAAAGAAAGCAAAGCAAGGAAAGATATAGGATGATGGGAAAATGAAAAAGCAGACTGGGTGTTGGGATGCAGACAAACCCATTCAACTGTGGTATTGCTTTGATGATTTCATCTTTCTTTCTTGATTAGCACGCAATAACTTTCTCCTCCAAAGATGCTGAAGGAAATCCAGAAAGATTGAATTTCTTTACAGTCTTTTCCGATAAAGTTAATCTCTGTCTCTTACACTGGAACAGACAAACGTGCGAACTTGCGTCTTGACGAAAAGAAGCCACACTTCTGCATGTTTATTATTTTGTGTCTCTGCTAACGTTCTGGACATTGTTCATTCTACATATTTCAGCTGCGTTATGAATGAGTTTTCCCTCAGCGAATTTCATTCCATCTAAATGATGCTTTTGAAATAAAAAAGGGAAACTGTGACACATTCCTCCTACGCCTGGATGTACCTTTTTATGAAGAGAAGTGATTAATTTCAGCCCAAAACAGGAAGATCGAAAAAGAACTGAAGAGCTGCCAAAGAAGTATAATATGTACAGTTCTCTCACTATAACACAATAACAACATTTTTTCAAAAGGCTTTAAATTGGCATGCAAATGTAGGTTTGCACCAGATTCGACAATCTGTTCATCCTCATGTCGTTATAGCAGGAAAGCCTTAAAAAAAGAAAACTGGAGGCAGAATTTAGTGGGATCGGTATTTTTAGAATTTTACAATGAAAATGCAAGAGACAGACGGGTCTCTCATGAATATTTAAAAACTGACAACCATGCTTTCCCTTTAATATATCAGTAAGAATGCAATTGCATATTAATGTGCTGTTCTCTGGGTTTGGAAAAACAGAATATCCTCTGTTTGTTGCTTGAAAATGCTCTTTATTAATTTACTCTCAAACAATGATATTATATTTGAAACTTTAGTCATTTGAACCCATGTGAAATAAAATCTAACCAAAAAAAGTTATTTATTTATCCAGAAAGAAAAGAAAAAGACTACTGTTACATACATCCATAGTCTGAGAGTACAACAGACAAACAGTAAAGCAAAAGTGCCAATTCTGACACTACACACAAGCTATCTGTTCCCTCTTTTGTTGGGTCCAGACCATGATGCATGTAACATCTTGTTTGGGAAAAATCCTGATGGATGTCAGCACTGGTGACCAGAATAGGAGCAGCCAGCACAGTGGCCTGCCTCTCTTAAAAATGTGATCGTATAAATGCACACTAATGGAAATAAATGGACTTGGATAATTCAAATGGGATGACTCAAAAGGACACAGAACCTACAGTAATACTTTTGCTGACTGTGTCATTCAGGGGGCAGCGTGTCTCTTTTTTATGATTGCTACAAACCTATTACTAAAAACTAAATGAATGAAACTGAGAGGGATTTGTCAAATGAAGTGGCAGCATTATCTTTCCTGCTATCACTGGCAGCCTCAGCAATAATGGTACAACAAGCTCATCGTTCGGTTCTTTCAAGTAATTCAAACTAAATATTGAGAAAGCATTCAGGTAGCTTTTTCAGTGTGGTCTCACAATGTGCAACTAAAACTTGTCCATTACATAGGCAACCTATTAGATCAAACATATTATTGCTCAATCACGTGTTCTTTCCAAATAGATCTATCCTTAAAGTTTTATATCCCTTCCCTCAAAGTTTACCGCAGGCCTGCCAGTTGTGTCCATAACAGCCTAATGCTGGAAATCTGCTGAATTTACACTTACTTCAAAAGCTGTGTTTCAATTATTGAAACAATGATGACAGTACACAAATAAATGACACCCAAAGGAAGAATGACAGTCTTAAGCTTAAGTGGAAAAAAATAAAACTTCAGAATTACTGGGTGTAGAGTGACGGGATGATGGACTCAACAAAGAACAGGTGTGTACACATCAGCCCATTGCTGCAGAAATCACAACGCGCCAAAACAGCAGTGTTGCACCTCCCCAAACTCTACAACAGGCAAACAGAGTTGCTGCGAGTGTGTTTTGGTTGCGTGTCGGTGTCCATATGGAGGTGTGCGCTAACTGTTTGAAGCAGAGCCTTCACAAATAACCAAAGTTCACTGGTCAAACACGTGCACTGCATATGCACACAAACACACTTTCAGCACCACTTTCAGCTGGTGTTGCTGTCCAGCCAAGACCAACATCCCTCTGTTTTCACACAATAAGAGTGGCTCATTTGACACAGGAGCTGTGTTTGTATGAGACTCCTTTCATCCGCCCACCGCAACATGTGTCTCTGCATGAGGGCATGCACATGTGTGTGGCGGTGCGTTTATGCATCCTGAATGTCCAGAGGGCAGTGTTTGTTTACCCGTAACACAAGTCTTCCAACTTTCCATACCCTGCCCCGAGAAGCTCAGAAGACGGCTTCTCTTTATGAAGAAAAAAAGAATCTGCTAGGTACGACCATCGTTAATATTGTAGCAGCCAGCTTGAGGAAGTAATTACTTCGACCACACGGTTGTGTTCTGTGTCTATGTCTGTCTTTTGCGAGCGTCCCACATATCCACACTCCTCTCGAGTAAACAGACAAACTTGCGGATGTAATTAAGACATCTCCAAGGGGAAAACATCCATCTACTAGCGGTTGTGTTCTTAAAGAACATATCATACTCATGCGTGCATACATAAATAGACATTTACTGCCTGATTAATTTGTCTTTAAAGTGTTTGTACACAATATTTATATAACATAAAGCAAAAAAAAAAAAGTACAGATATGGGTAGCTATTCAGAAACCGGCAGTGGAGGTCCTACCATTATACCTCAATGTCATCCATTGATGTCATCCTCTTACAGAGGGGAATAAAAAAATCTAAAACCTAAAAATATGAAATGATAAACCACTGTTAAAATAATGACAGGGTCATGGACCTAAAGGTTACCTCCTACGTTGTGATCAGAGAGCTCATAATGCCACCGTCTCTAGGACAGTGCTTGCTTTCTATCTAATTTTATATCATAGAGGCATTCCAAGAAAAAATGATTTGTGGAGCACATCTGCAGGTCTGTCTTTGACTATATATTATCCTGTGTGAAACCTTAAGTGAGTAAATGAAAAATACCTCACTTGATCAGTTTGCCGCCACACACAGAGACTAGTGTCACTTTTATAATGCGTGAAATTATGTTAGGCACTCGTCTAATACACACATAGAAGGATATGTGCAAGACTATATGGTGAAAACGAGCATGCCCTTTGCACGTTGTGTGTAAACCAATACATGAACAAATTTAGCTCATGAATATATTCATATCCTTTAGTGCTGTCTAATTTGTTTTCACTTCTTGATCCCACAGAAAGACTGTCTCATGCAAGCACACAACCCCCCAGGTCTATAACACTCCCAAGATCTGCAATGGCTTATGTATGAGTCTAGGGGAGCAAGGCAAATTGCTTATTTCTTGATTTCAGAAACTTAACATAGTAATGTGAATCTAAAGAGGACAGAATAACATATCTTCAATAAAAGCATGTGGCTAAACTGAATGAATGTTTGACAGAGATAGTGCGCAACTTGGTAAACTAGATGCATGTCGGTCTGAGCCATGCACTTTTTTAAATAATAAACGGGGCTGTTGTGGAATATAAACATTAATGACACATCCAAGCTTTGTAAAGCCCACTGCATAGTCTGTGGCCATCTTTTTTTGTAGGATACATGTAATGAAATAACCAAATGTGACAAATGCATCGTATAAAAAAAGTGGGAAACTCATTATCTGGGTGTCTGTTATATTCTTTGATGACAAGCTTTTGTTAAGTTTCTGAACTCATCAATCTAGACAAATTTGACATGTGTGGCTCAAAAAAAGAAAGCAGAAGTGGATGGTTTTACCTCTCAAAACATCTGACATTTGAATCTCTTTGCAGTAGCACATTCAAACACACCTAAAAACACACACACACACATACATAGACGCACACAGACGGTCAGTTGCTTGACGTCAGTGGAGCAAACTGCTCAACCTCATTGGCCACTGAGCCAGGGGGAATAGTTTCTGGTCAAAGTCTTTCTTTTCCTCTGGCTCTCTCTGACCAGCACATGGGATCATAAAAGGGCAGAGACAGCTCTGAAGTGTATTTTTCACTGGACACTAATCAAGAAAGAACAGACCTTTACCTTCTTGGCGCACGTACAAAACACACAGTGACAGCCAGTGAAAAATTAATATGAGGTATTGCAAAAAGCCTCCCAGTAGTCACAACACATAACCCAGGCATGCTAATACACCCCCTTGCACACACACACTGACACACAGTGTGCAGACATTTGTGTTTTACTACATGTCAGCTGTAGGAGGGAGAAGCAAACAGGGGAGACAAGATAATAATACAGTGTATTATATTGCCAACCCAAGGCAAAAAGGGACATTAAAAAAGACAACAGATTCTATCTAAGTTTTCATCACAATTGTTCTGTAATACAGATCTAATCCAAAATCCAAAGGTACTGGTCCACTGTGGCTGGATAGAGGGAAAAATGAAGGACTCAAGAGATAGCTGTTGCAGGAATTTGCATTTTTAAGACTGACAAAGAATGTAAATGGAGGTGTGGGATTAGCAAAAGGAAGCAGAAACCAAAATGATTTGGACAGCACTAAAAACCACATTGCCAATTATCGGATATGCTTCATTCCTCTCTGCTGAGAATGCGAGCAAAACCGAATTGGAGCACCGAGAATTAAATTGAAGCATTTTAGAGGACTGTAAGTGACGCTCCAGCTGCTCGAGTTTGCTACAATTGGTTGCCGTGCCTCTGGAAACAAAACAATGAGTTTAATGTTAGTGGCATGAATGTGAATCTTTTACAGACTGTTCAAGGTTGAGTCGGGTCTAAACTACAGATTTGTCGCACAGAGCAGCATCACAACTTAACTAAAAACTTGAATGTAATGAATTGATGGACTAAAAACCTTATTAAATCCTTATAATTGGAAAACAAAACACAAAACATATCAATTGATCAATACATCCTGATATCCATTTCTATTTACACCTGTTACATCTATGTGAGAGCACCAGGTTGGCTGGTCTGTATGCCATAGAGTGCACTGTGTTTCCGCCGTAGCTCTACATAATAAGCCATATTTTTCTAGCAGAGAAAGTGCAGCACCTACTTTAAATATTCCCATCACTTTGTGTACACTTTCTCTTTCGGCTAAATCCTCGCAAAGATCCTAGAGCCTGCCTTCTGCCTGCACTATTTCCTGTGTAAGGCTCCTGATCTTTAAACTAAGCCCCTCTGTCTGTTGCTGATCTTTATTCAACTTCATGTCTACCTCCACTTCATCTTCTTCCCAGCAAGACTTTTCCTTGACTTGGCAGACTTGATCACACCCACTCTGTTATGAACTTCAGCTTTGCATTAACAGCGCACTATTCATCCCCTCGCCTGTCTCTAAATGAAAAAGAAAAATCTTTAAAGTGAGCTTATTAGGCTGCTTTATCGCTCTTCAGATCTTCACATGCATGACACTACCCCCTCCCTTCCCCTTATGTGCGCAGATGTCCCGTACAAGAGAATACACAGTACCTATGAACGTGGATAATATACATCACAAGCCTTTCTGTAAAGGCGTATGCACACCAGGCTGCAGGGAAAGAGATCACAAGGAAAAGAGAGTAATGGGTGAGAAGGGCTTGAGTGGGGTTAGTGTATGAAGATTAGTGGAGGAGAAAGACAGATAGACATTGCAAGATGGGGGCAGAATCTAAAGACAAGGGGGAGCCAGAAGTGGTAGCTGTGGAGGAGAAAATGCTGCCACTGAGAAAAAAAAAAAAAAAGTGGAATCACTATGGAGATGATTTGGAATCGATTGAAAAAAGTATGAGGTGATTCAAATGACCAGAATACTCAAGTTTTTTTTTTAAATTGTGATATTCTCCTTCACATCAAAACTGAATCTGGAACAACAGTGATGTGTGAACCATTTCTAAACAGTGGAAATTCTTAACACTAATGGATTTTGCCACATTGTTCTTCTTTGACACAGAAGCTTTGAAAGAGGACGACAGGGAAAACAATCTGTCTCATCAGATTACTCCTGAAACCCAACAGATACAAAGAAACCAAAGCGCACGCTTTTCTTTTCATATATTTTTGAGCTTCTCTCTTGGCTTCCCATTGACTTTCAAAACCAGGCCCGCTTTCCCAATTCTTATGGTTGTCTGTTACAATAAAGTGATGGGAGTTGCTGTTCTCCTACAAATACAGAAAGAAATGGGAGAAAAGAAAATCGGGATATAGAGCAGAAAAAAAGGCAAAAACTGATTGAGGAAAAAAGAAGAGAGCGTAAGAATAGCCATGATTACCCTTTGTTCAATGTCAAAACTAAGATACATTAGTCTGGAACATGTAAAACAAGTAATTAAACATAAAGGTCATCAGTTTCACAAGTGGCATACACGTAAGGCCGCATAGTTCCTAGATTAAGGATGTTCCAGAGGTGCTTTATGGCTTCATCGTTTTCCAAAGTGATATGCATGCAAGGATACAAGACAATTCCATTACCCTTTGATGTAGCACAGGTCCCCCGAGTATGCATGTATGTGTACATGGGTAAGGCACCAAAAAAGAAAAAAAAGGAAAAAAAAAAAGGTTGCCCAGGGAAAGGAAGAGCACATCAATCGGTATTTGTGTAGAAATAAAGTGCCTGGAGCTAAGGGAAGTGCATCAATCTGACAAGATAACTCACTCCTTTCCTCTTTCTTAGAAGCAAAGAACAGCCAGTAGATGCCTATAGAGTTTTTATTTTCTTATATTTGGAGTTAGATGTTAAAAATAACAAATCAGGTCATAATCCATCTTGTTTAAGCTACCTTGATATGCTGACGTTGAATTTTTTTTAAGTGTGCTTAGGTTGTCGGCTGGTTCTACAAAATGCAGAGAAGTGCAACCACAGTGTTGTAAAATCCTTTCTCATGGAGTCTGTCGCATAGCCCCACAAAGAACAACACACACTTTAAATGGATTGATGGAAACATAAATGGACTATTAATAAAAGTGGCAAGATTCTGACCTCCCAAATAAGGTTTTTCTTTTTTTTTTATTACATGTGTGCCAAAAGAACAATAAAGATACCACAACAATTCTCTTGCAACAACAATCTTTCTTGGCAGGATTTGCGGTTAGAATTAATAATCATTTGAGATGCTGCTTAATTTTTTTTTCCTTTTTCTTTATCTTTGACTCAGTTATCCATGCGAGGTGTCCCGATCATCCCATTAATCAACTGTCAAAAACTTTGGGTTTGAAAACTGCAGCCATTTTCTAGTGGCAGCTGGCACCACAAGGGCTGAGTAGATGACTAATGGGCTCTAAAGATGATGGTACCGAAAAGGGGCTTTTCGATTTCTACGGCCTGATGTCTGGGGGACTACTGCAATTTCACTGTACCACACAAATTACAGCATTTAGGGGGTTATAGCCACCATCATAGAGAACCGTGCTCTTTAAAACTCATATGCTGTCAACTTGCTCATAGTTTCAAATTCCCCTCAAAGGCAACAGGATTCTCATATGATTCACAAGAACACAGGGACACAGAAGCTTGGAGCAATCGGAGTTCAATACTGGCTGCAATATGTCTTTTTTATCATTTATATTGTCCCCAGATTTAGCTCTGAGTCCATTCATGGACTGCTCTTCTTATAGGCATTGATCCGCCTTGTTGAAATTTGTTTCTTATGGTGACAGACAGATGATTAGTTGAAGACCCTGCTTTTTCATTGCAGCAACACGAATAACCTTCAACGGCTCTCTTCCCAGCTGACTCTGTGAGACTTTAAAAAAGATAATGGCTAACTTCAGGTTCCAGCAATAAAAATTCAATGTATGTTGTAAGTTATACGAAATAATTCCCATTGTAGTCAACTAAGCTACATCTTATCTTAGAAAGTGCTCAAAAGTTCCCAACAATCAATTTTTCAACCCAGCAACACTTACCTAAGAAGAAATAAAATAAAATAAACTTTTTAAAGTTAGCCATTTTGTTTTTTATTTCAACACGGCAAAACTAAATAAGAAAAAACATGTGGTTGGGAATAATAATAATAATAATAATAATAATAATAGTAATAATAATAAAAGTTTTATATGGGTCCTGTGCTGTAACTGAGTTGTACTGCTGCAGCATAAAATAATGCTTTACCGACTTTAAAGCGGGACCAGGGGTTGCTAACTATGTGTGTTTGTGCATGTGTGTGTCTTTGCAGCTGACAGTCTGACAGGTCACCGGGGTGACTGGCTGGATATATGACCCCCCCCTGCAAGGGTGCTGTGTTCGCCAGAAGGCTGAAAAACTGGGTGGGAGCAGCCCATGCTGTTGCACTATAAATTGTTTGTCTGACAGGACTTTGAGACAGCAATAGACATGAGGCGGGGTAAAAAAAAAAAACAACAACAAAAAATAGAAAAGAGCAGGAGATCAAAGTAAAGGATGCTGTATTTTTCTCAACAGCTTCAGACTTAAATGGCCTCTGGCATATCAAATTGCAATTAAGTTTTACGGTCACTGCTTTTTTATTTTCCCCCTGTATTTTGTCATCGACCCTTCACTTTTTTATATCCTTATTGCTGGGCACCACTTTTCTATGAGAGATAGCATCTAAAGATATGTCACTGAGTGCTACGGTGCTGACGTGTGCTTGTGTGTGTGTGTGTGTCTATGTGTGTTTTTTTATTTTCTGTCTATGTGTAGGTCCTACTGTGTTTGTTTACTGATGAGATAGGGGCCTTTTTAAAGTCTGTATAGAAATAACATCCTGCTATGGGTGTTTCATCATATTTTAATAATACTCTACTTCTATCCATCCAAATATATACAAACTTTAGAATTTTGACATTTCCACCTATTTAGGTTTTTTTCTTTTTTTTCTTGTGGTAACTCCAGCTTATATGTATCCAAAGTGTCAGGGAAAATGTAAGCATTCTACAGCAAATGCAGTTTGCTGAAACAATGCAAAGAGAAAGAGAAACAGACATCACAGCACCAGTAAAATCACATGAGTATACATTACGTGGTTGTGATGACATTATGTCAACAATCTCCATAAATCTAGATCACATGCACAAAGACAAGGCTGGAGCCATAGTATGATGTTTCTCTGCTCTTAATGCAATCCAGTATAAACACAACGCTAACAGACACAGCACAAACCTACAAGCATCAGACAAAATGATGTCCAAGAAAGTCCACTAATAAATACACACACACACACACACTCACGCACACACATACACACCGAGTAAGCAGGAAAGAAAAAAAACAGTTGGGGAGAAGGATGGAGGGGAAAAAAAAGACTTAGACAGATGGCTTTATGCTATCCTCCTGATCACACTTCTATCTGTGTAAAACATAACAAGCCCCCGGTGTAAGTAATAAACACTGCATAAAATCAACTATCATCACGATGGTAATCACAAGTGTAGCCTGTCGTTATGTCATTATCACTTGCGTCTGCACAGCACTTTCGAGCTTCGAAGGTGACAGTTAGTATAAAGATACAATGAGGAAAGAGCAAAAGAATCATATAACGAGGGCAAACTGACTTTATATGAGAAAAAAAGGCTTTCAATGAAAAACCGAATAAAAGTTTCTTCTGCATGTGCTTCTTGAATGTGTTGTGAAACCCAAAAACCGATAGCAATGCAAACTCGTTCAGTGCTGGGCTAAACCACGAAGGTAGTGTTCTCCCAAACTTCTAATTGACCCCTGATGAATGGTTACACAACGAGAGTCTATTTTAACACATGTATCATTTGAGACCACCAAAGTGCTGTTTCAACACAGAAACGCCTCCACTGGTGAAAGAAAACACACTTGTGCGCTAGCTTGCACAGACACGAGGTGCACATCTCACTTTTAGCCTTTCTTTCACACACATCCATGCACACACACACACACACACACACACACTCACATTCCGGTCTGTTTATGCATTGCATCATTCACCCTGCTGACACAATCTACCATAACATAAAATTCTCATTAATTCAGTATTGTTTCAGCATTGAGTAATTCATCATTGCCAATATGATTAACCAAACTGTCACACTCCCATATAGTCTCATTTATCAAACATTTGCATGGAAATGTTGCCTTTAACATTAGTGCTGCAACGCTATCTTGATGAGTGGTGGGTTTGGCTTTCTATGAGCTCTGATGACAACAGGATGGCATCACAGATGAATGGTTAATTTACTGAAGGGGGACACATACTAACAGTTTATTTATTATCTGCCCATGTTGCCTGCCTCAATTTGCACTGACTTGAATTTATTTGCGAATTAGAGCCATTTGCAGTGACAAAACTTCCGAGTCAGCGCGGAGGAAGCAAAAGAACCAGCACAGTCATTTTCCTCTATGTTCTCATTTTCTCTTTTTTTTAGTTCTGGTGGATTTAATCGTTTATTTGAAAAGTGGAACTAAATAAGAGAATGATTTAAGCAAATGCTTTTCAGTGCCACAGAAGTGTTCTTTGACACCTTTGCAGTATGAGGGATTCATGATTGACGAAAAACAGGTATCCAGTTCCTGCTGGCAGTCACTTGATTGCTGCATTGTGATTAAAGGGACATTTCCATATGTCTGTTACATGTATTGCTAATAGATATAGAAAAGGTTATCAGTGTTATGTGGTTGCCCAGTGGATAGCACAGACTATGAAAATATCAATTCACTGTCGTGATATAAAGTATACTTTCTCAAATCTGTCATTTAAAAATAGACAGGCAGCCATCAGCCATGATGTATTATTGAAGTGACATGGTCTCACAACCAGACTGGAGGACGGATGAGGTAATTTAGCAACAGATGAGAAGAGGCAGTTGTCAACACAAATCTTAAAATAGTCATTGATATATTACAGTTTTGAGCAAGAGTCTGGAGCCACCACTAATGGCTTACATTTACAAGCAAACAGGAAAGTAAATGAGGGTTTTGAAAGACAAACTTTGATAGAAATACATGATTTTAAGGAAAAACAGAGATTCTAACAGGCTTGTGCACTCTAGTCTTGAACATAGTGTGAACACTGTTAGACAAGTTTTCCTGTAATTTCTTCTAAGCAGTCACCAGGTAAAATAATCCAAAGCTTGTTTTTGTTTTGTTTTTTAGATGTAGGCTGCCTTTTGTTCAGTTCCATGCTTATTTACTGTTGAGGTCAGGGCTCTGGGGAGAATTCATCCCTCCATGAGACCTGTTGCCATTTATTGTCAGACCACTTCTTGTGTCATTTGGGACAAACAAAGCCTTTTTTACCTGTTCCCCTTCGTTTATGAAGGGCTTCTTCACAGTCATCCATCCATGAAAATCATCCCTGATGATGTGTCAGTTGAAAACAGATGGAGCAGAGCCGGGTAAATATTTCAAGTTCTGTGAGGTTGTTTTTGTTTTTTTATAAAATAATTTATTTTTAGGATGTTCACATTTATGAAGCATTGATCTGTTCTTATTTGCTATGTATTTCTATTGGGAACTACTTAGTTGGAGCAAAAATATTGTATCAATTATTTGAAATATATTTACTTTGAATTAGCATTCTTTGTACATCCATCTTTAAAAAGAAGCTTATGCTGCAGTGGATTGCTTACATCAACGTTTGAGCCTATTTACATAAAGAGCACTTTTTTGTTCTTTCAGTTCAACTAGTTTTAAATTCTCAATACAGTTTAATTCTTGAGTTAAATGCAATGTTTAACAACCTGTTTTTACCCCCATCATCCCCTGAGAAGTTCTTGTCATTTACAAGTCCCCCCTATCTCAACATGATTATCATGCACGGACCTCATGTATAAAACCATCCCCATCACAATAATGGATCTCAGAGGAGGCCACAATGACAAGCTATTAAATTGACAATCATATAGCTTTTGTGTGATTATTAACATGCCCGGCCATAAGACCAAATGTCACTCCCCAACTAATCATTAAAACTTGTGTCGTTTGGACTGTGAGGACTGCTTTCATGACAACTCAAGTTTAATATTGGCATTTAAAATTCAAATTAAACACCCTTCAAAATGGTAGAACTTATTATCAAAACTGTCTTTTAGCCAAAGGGTTTCACTGAGCAGGCAGAAATACGAAAATAAAATGTCACTTCCAAGGATATTCTGATTAATGTTTGCTAACTGCCACATTTCCAAAATGCTGCCTAACAAAAACGAACAGTCTTCTCATGAATAACAATGCCTTGCCTATGCTCACTTTCCCCTTTGGGGGGATTAAAAATTCAACCTGTCCTTTTTCAGAAGAAACGATATGATGTCAAAACGTTCATCTACTCACCACCGATGTGAAGCAGGATGGTGTCACGCCTCTCTCCGTGTGGGTTCTGAAAGCAGCTGTAGAGTCCGTTATGGCCCAAGCCCACCTGGGTCAGGATCAGCCTGGGACCTTCTAGATGGTGCAAGGCCTTCACATCTGTGCCGTTCACCTTCCACGACACTGAGGCGTCATTGTCCAGGGAACCGCACTGCATGGTGATATCATTGCCCATCCGCTCATACTGGTTCCTTGCAACTGAGAGCACAAGTGAGGCAAAGATGAAGTGTTAGGAATGGCGGCAATGAATAAAAACTGGTACAATATGTGTGCAGTGTAATTACTGCCCTTTGTGCCTGCTGGCTTCTGGCTAATGAGCACAGGCAGCCAAAATAACGTATTTGTAATAACTCTGAATAAGTAGCTTCATTCAAATTACACTTTGTTGTACTTATTCCCCAGGCAACAAGAAAGCAACAGAAAAAAAAAATAGGGAATGGTTTCATTTTGACAATAGCACTTTTGAATGAGTTTTATGCAGTTTCAGGTCCATCCACTGTCCATCAATGCATATTCTTCAGCCCCCAGCAGTGACAGTAAAATAATGAAAAGAATAATAATTGGAAAATTTCCACGAATACTTTTGCATTTTTCCTGTCTAAAATCATGAATAAATACTTTATATTTGGGCATGCACAAGAATCCACACCATAAACCAGATTTCTCCATTTTAAAGTATTTTCTATGTACTCTTTCTCTATGTATCAGCTTGCATCTGATGCCAACGGTGTCTTGTCAGTGGAGCTGCAGGGACTGTGACCTCCCGGATTAAGGGATTTTGCAAGCCTAATGGGAATTCCAGCCGGGACACCAGGGTTAGGAGCCCTTCGCTGTTGATAAGGCGCAAGGGACCCGTTGTGACCACAAGGAGTGAAGACCTCAGATTAACACTTAAACAGTGAGGATCAACAGCACAACAACAAGCAACAATGAAATATTGATCCTCATCTCTGTAAATAAACGCCATAGAGTCTGACAAAACATAAGTTAGTGCCCCACTGGCCTAAGATCAGATGCTGTCATGGTCCTTTCCAGCTTTATCTCTTTGTAACCCATCTCTTTGTAACCCAGACATCTCTTTTTTCTTTCTTTTTTTTTTAACCACAATGCTCCCACAGTTAGACTTTTTAATATGAATTTTCCTCCGTCTTCTAATCAGACATGTCCATCAACTCAGCTGATACAGATATCAGTCCTGTGTTTCATGTATATCAAATTCCCATAACAGTCATCCATATTTAATGTCACATTAACATTAACCTGACACTATTTGTTCTCTATGTCTTTTGCTGTGTTGTTCGTTACCCCTCGGCAGCCAGTACTTGTGATTTTTTCCCTTTCCTTTTATCATGTTTCCATCTTTCTGCCCTAATGCTGTCCATGCCAGCCACCTCAGTGTTTGCCCTCACCATTTCTTGAAATAATGTCAGCATATACATGCACATCATTTGGCAAGAAATGGCAATTTTCTTTGATCTTTCTCCCTGTCAAGTTACTTTGAACAGCCCGTGTGACTTTATTTACATAAAAAAAAGCAATTTGCATCCGAGCAAAATCCATACAGTTTGACTTTGATGTTAGCTTTGATGATCATGCTGGTGCCCTGGTTCTTTATGTGATGAGTAAGAGTGGAGGAAGTTAAGAAAAGAATTTAAGAAAAAAAAATCCACTTTTTCCATCAAAGTAAGAAAAGATGGGGAAAAAGACAGCTTGAGTTGAATAAAGGTCCATGGCTAAAATTCTCATCATTCTGAAGATGATGAAATTAGTCCTCTACTCCATCCGAGTACATTATTGTGCCTAAAACAGAGAAAGCAGAGGCTTCTAATGCTCTGTATTGGCTCACCTTCTCCTGTCCTCTCACCTTGAAGCTACTCACTCAATACAAATGGTAGAAACTTCAGCATTCATCAGCGGTGCATCCCTGATCATCAGCAGTCAACACACATGCAGCTCATGCATAAAACACATAATAGCAATAGTGAACAACCAGCTCGTACTTACGATTGCTCTCATGTACTCACTCACACATGAGACACAGCCCTGCATAATGTCCTCATTTCTCATGACCATGCAGACAAGGCTTGATAACCATAATGACATTTAACTCAAGTGCTATTGATCTTTTGGTAATGGACTAGACACTGTAAGCAGCAACAGAGCACTGCAACCCTCCACCGAAACGAGGATGAAAATCAACAATGTCCTGTTTCTAATTGTTATACTTCTCATGTTGATGCCAGCAGACAGATAGGTGACCCTCAAGCTGTTTGAGACTTTTTCTTCACGTTTACAGTCATGAAGTAGGAAAATTGGATGTATGGATGAAGAAAAAGAAAAGCAAAAAAAACAGAGGTCACTGCTTGCATTGGAAGTTCAGTCTTCATAGTTTTGAGTGCCATCTCACAAAAACACTCATACACAAAAGTTAATTTAAAGTTAGAAATGTTGTATTGTAATTCCGCTAAGAAATATTGGAGGTATTTGATTTGTTAGATACAGTTAACACACACACAAAACACAACCTGGTATATTTTCCAAGAGATTTATTCTCATAATTAAGAGGCTACCAGAACTTCGTATTCAGAGTGGGATGCTGCAGGCTAATCAGGATACTGTAGACCTCACGGAGAGCTGCAATGTTTTTATTTTTTTAAGGGAATTAACATAAACTGTGAACATGGTATCCAGTCTTGAGGTCACTGATCTTATACCTGTCAGACTATTGCTAACCAGAGTTAACTCAAAGAATAATGGGCACACAAACACACAACCTCTGAGTAACAAAACATTTGTCTTGGTCAGTGAACCACTGATGTGATAAAAGGAACAGCCCAAACAACACTCCTGCCTCTCCACTTTATAAATGTGCACTTAGACGAGCTCCGAAGAAAGATTTACAAAGACGAGTAGATCATAATAATGTGTTTTTGACTGTATGTGCAAAAACAACTTTCACGTACATGCCATGTCCACATATAGCTCACCCTTGGAATATAAGCGTGCAGATGCATGTACACGTGCAAAAATATCAGTTTTGTTCTGCATGCTTTACATATTTGATGATAGGCAGGATGATGGAAAATTGAAGGTAAAGATGAAAGAGTTGTGATGAAGTACACGAGCGACTTTGCTGAGAATAACTTTGAAAAGGCTTTGAACATATTTTGGATGTGTGATAAACAGTTTTGTTGATGCTCATTTTCTGATAATAATCTACTCTTGTCCATTATCTTACTTGTAATGAGTGGGTTTAGAAAATGGATGGATGGACTGAAGAAATCTAAAGACACTCTTTTCGCTAACATTGTACAACAAGCAGTAGAGTTATACACTGTGTGTCAAAGTATAACAGTTTAACTTTTTCTAAAGATAAATAAATAAATAAACACATCTCTACAGAGGGGTAGGATAACAGATTTCTATATGGATATATCAATTTGAACAAATTACTGTGGAAGCTGCATTATAAAATACACCTTTTATACCTCCATACTGACAATACAAGTGCACATGCTTGCAAACAAACTCACACAACACCTAACCAAAATGAACTAATTCACTCATTAGGAAATGCATCAAGCATCCACACAACCCATCAAATAAACATGTACACCCTTTTGAGTTAATTAGATTTAATAATGGTGTTTAATTACGGAGAACAGGTTGTAAGGCCTGTGCGTGCATGTTTGCATTTCAATTTACACAATATCTGCCCGATGCATGAGTAAAAATATGGCTCTATCATTCCGCATTAAAGACTTTACTCATGCATGCATGCACGTGTTTAAAGTGTGTGTGCGAGTAATCACCTGTAAGTTAGGATCTGAGTGCATGAAGTAAAATTGAAATTCCTTGACAGCATTCCAATTTGCCATCCTGAGGTGTTATAATCACAGTAGTCTTTTGTGCGTGAGCAGCTTACCACGTGTGGGTTTCTTTCTGTTTGTGCAGCCCCCCTTGTGGATCCACTGGCATAAACACATCATGGCAAGGTGTATGGCATTGCTTTCCACCCAGGCCGTAACTCACCGGGACATTTATCAGTGAATTGTATTCGGATGGCTAAAGAGAGTCATGCTTTTCCAACAGTGAAATGGTGGATTGGCTGACATTGAAATTGAGCCTAGATTGATTAAAATAGAATCCAGGGGAATCATCAGTTTAGGTAAAGAAGATCAATTCCTTTCCACATGCTGGCCACACAAAATGATTCTGGCTGGGCCAGTAGCAGTTATACCGAGAAACTGAAGACTGATCAGTAGAGGTGTTGGTATTCTATATGTTGATTAATCAGAGTGTGTGTATATATATATATATATATATATATATATATATATATATATATATATATATATATGAGCAGTGACAGACTAAATTCACTGGAGCCAGGGAGTGAGTGAAAGTGACACATAGAAGAAGAAAAGGCACAACTGTGTTACTCATGCCATGACTGTTCAAACACCTCCTCTACACTACATTTGGCCTTCAATTGTACTTTCATTGGACCCTTGTGAGCCCAGGCACTCAGCTATCAAAATCACCTCCATAATAATTTCACAATATTATACAGCCTTGAGCCTCACTCACAAATCACCCACTACAATAAAAATGCTGTAAGGTGAAGTGAATAATTCCATCATTTTTTATATAAAGCAAAAGTCCACTGGGCAACTTTGAGCCCCAGAAAGGATTTCGATAGTGCACGCATTGCACACATCAAAACAAATGTAGTTCCACAGCTCAACAAAATGCTCAACGTGTTGAACTCCCTCCACAAAACTGTACCAACACAGGTCTGATCAGCACATGCAGGAACAGCCTTGACTTCATCTTGACACCCACAGGACCCAAACTGTATGTTTAGGAGGAGTATGGGGAAGATCGGGGAGACGGAGGACTGATGCATATCAGAGGTGGATGCATTGTTGATGCAGTGTTATCTTTACAAAAGGTTTATTTACAATGTTATCCTTTGGGCTGCTATCACTGGCTGCAGCCATGGTGTTTGTTTGCTGAGCGGCCAAACTGCAACCTGCACTTTCCTTCGATTTGTTTCAAACAGGCAACAGTAGATATTTAATTTAACTATTCGGTTGGACTCCTTGGGCTTTAATGGGTAAATGCAAGAAGAAATTGTAGTAAACAATTAATTCATTGATATAAAGGTAAATCAAAAAGACAGATCAGACTAAATA